CCGGCTCTTAATTTCACTGAAAGAATTCAAAGTGCCAAAGATTAAAAAGAAGCTGAAGACTTTTTGCTGGTTTTATTAGATCTTGAAAAATCATTCGATACAGTTAACCATGAGATATTATTGGCAAGCTTGAACGTTATGGTGTTCGAGGAAATTGCTTAAGCCTTCTTAGGAGCTACAACAATATACCAAGCTAGCTGATTTCAGTTGTAAAGTGCAACAAATCGTATATGGTGTTCCTCAGGGCTGAGTTTTGGTTCCTTTACTTGTCTTGATATACATAAATGGTTTGTCTTTGATGTTGTTGTTGTTTTTTTTAGCCCCGAGGGGGCACGTTCGGCATGCTGAAACTAAACCCCAGAAACGTCGCAACTTCGGTCGGACGAATCCACAAGCCTATGGGGGTTAAAAAGTGGTGTTCTGGGAACATTTACAAAGATGTAGAGTGGTATGGATGGAACGACAGTATAGGCAGTTTAGGGGACGTTTTGGTCAATTCGGTTGAGGTACGTATTCAGGAAAGGGCTTTAACCTGATATCAACTGGGAAAGGGTTCTTCTAGTGGAAAGAAGGACCGTTTCTTCGGCGGGGGAGATTTCAGGTGGTCTAAGGAGCAGAACTTCTGGGGGTGTTCAATCTGATATTGCCTGCTTATTTATTTGCATTTGAATCAATTTAAAATTGTCGAAGATGAAAGAACTTCGTTCACTATAGTTTTTGCAAGCCGTTATGTATTAATTTTGGATAAAACAGTGTGAATTTCAGGGGAGTTTAATTTAACGGATTAAGGGCGGATATTCTGTTGCGGTTTGGGATATGATAAAAATGCAGAGGATCTGACGGAAAAAAGTTTTGCGGCCGAACTGCGGCGCCAGTAAATAATGGTGGTGGTCACATTTAAAGGGTCACATTCTGAATGTAAATGGTCTATTGCGCTCATCTTTCTGCACACTGTAGTAACGCGGAGAGCAGCATTTTTAACTGTTTGCAGTTTGCTTTAAAAAATTTAAATGGCAGCGTGGGACCAGGCAAGGCTCGCATAGTCTAAAATTGGTCTTACCAAAGCTTTAAAAGTAACCAGTGAAGGTTTTTTCGGACTGGCCGCTGGAATTCCCGGATAAAGCCTTCAGGATCGATGCCCTGCGCGCTGCCTTTGCTGATTTTCTCTTGCAATTCCTGCAAAAGTTAGGAATTGGTCGAAGAAGACACCAAGAAAGTATTTTAGGATGTTTCTCAAGGGGCAGTGTAGTATTTTTCATTTCCTCATTCGGATTAGTGTTAGTATCTTTGTTAAAAGAAGAAAAAGGCTGGCCGAACCTTAAGAAAAAATCAAATAACCTTGGTAAAAAATGTGTAACTTAGTTAGATAACTGGATAAAATTGATAGGCCGTTGAAATGTCGCTGGGCCGGACAAAAGGGTAGAAATCGTCATCGTAAGATGCTGTTTTAAATCGGGGCGATAGTGGAGCGTCGTAGACGTAAAAGATAAAAGTTTTGGAGATAAGATACAGCCTTGAGGGACGCCTGTAGGAACAAACCTTGATTTTGAAAGGTCGTCCCTGAACATAGTTTTTGATTGACGCCCATTCAGGTAGTTTTACAACCACTTAATTGGGCTTTTCGGTTCGCCGAAGCCATGAAGGAGATCCAGAAAGGTGCAATGGTTGACCATGTCGAAAGCTGCTGACAATTCAAGTGTGATCAGGACTGTCCTATTTGGGAGCCTTTGTTGATTAAAACCGTCCCTGATTTAAAAAAAATCAAAAACTGAAATTGCTGTGATAATGGAATGCATCGGGCGAAAGCCATAGTCATGATCGACTTTGAGTAGAATTTTAGTTAGCGTTGGATGGATCAAAGATTCTAAAATTTTGACTGCTGGGCTCAAATTCGAAACTGGGCTGTATGTGTCTGATTTTCGACATTCGAGCTTTATCACTAAGGTGACTTTTCAATTTAGTATATTGCATTTTAAAAGCACTAGGAACTTCAACCGGCCGAGAAGGTTTTTGTGGGTTCCTACCACAGACATGCTGCCATTAATTGACCAGACCCCTATCCAGAACTTACTGGAGGGCGTATGGTGATTGGAAGTCGGATGTGTTAAAAGTCTGATTCTATCTCTTTGTTAGCAAGTTTTTTTCGTTTCCTCATTCAGGGCTTGAATAAAGAAACTGTGCCGGTTAGCGGGAATATGGTGACATGCTGCAGCAAGTATTATTTCACGAAAGGTTCGTTCTGCGGAGTTAAGATTGTGCTGCGTTAGTTTCTTCGGTAAATCTCAATTTCTTTTTCCAGTCCTTTTTCCAATGTTGCGGGGAGCGTACGGTATATCTTCTGCAATTGGAAGAGTAATTAATTTTGGGAGTTGGTCTGAGCCTAGCTTAAAGTGTTTGCCATGAGAGATCAAATAAATTAGACGGCGAGGCCAGGGAAAGATAATTGGATAATGCTGACTTGTTAATTTTGTCTGGGAGCCTCATTTAATCGTGGTCGTTTAGTGAAATTAAAGTATTCAAATATGTTGGCTCTGAGTCTGGTCCCACGTTTGTCTTCGGGGATATTAAAGTATTCAAATATTTCGGCTCTGAATCTGGCCCCACGTTTGTCTTCGGGGATATTTGAGTACCAAAGAAGGGAGTGGTTTTTGGCATCACCGAGGATGAATTTTTTTTTTCATCGTTGAAAAGCTATAATTGATGCTTTAAAGTCTTTAAGGCGGCTAGAGTGAGGAGGGATATAGAAAATTGTGATACGGAGATTTTGTTTTCTTGCCTTTCTGTTTCATTGAGCCTCCAAATTTCCGTCTTTCACTATTGCTAGTTGTTTGTATAGAAGGGAGTTTTGAATGGCCTTAAGGAGTCCACCTCCCTCTCGAATACGGTACTTTGTAATAATTGTGTAGTTTAGACTCTTTTTGGGAGTGCGATTTTTCAAGTTTGTTTAAGTTTCTTGGAAAACGTCGATGTGGATTTGGTATTTGCACAATAAGGCTGCAATTTTGGGTGCTTTCCCAGAGCTTTCAAGTGCAGAATGATCACGGACCTGGTACAGAGGGGGTTCACTTGCACTTGGTTAATTGGGGAGTTCGTTGAAGTAGGAGGTTTGAGTCGTGAAGAAAGTTGGGAGTTTGATTGGTACAAGGGGACGTGTGATCACTGCGTGGTAATTAGTTGTTGAAGGGCAATTTATTACGGGCTGGCGAGTGAAGTTAGTGTTGTTAGTCACATGAGGAGGAAGTATATAACATTTTGTACAAGGGCCGTTAATTTGTTTGCAAGTGGAGCAGGTATGACGACCACGGTTACGGGTTAATATCGGCACGGAGGAGTAGAATTAAAATGAATAGATGTAGCGACCCAACCGACTTAGGAAGTTCGAAACTAAAAACCCGGAACGAGCATGCTTTCCGCGAATCCCTGAAAAGAGAGGGTAATCTAGTTCCATTTGCGGCTGTACGAATATTGTCATATAAAGAACATGTTGAAAATGTTAGAAAAAGCTGGCGAAGTTTGCGGGACCATTATAGTATTATTATGACCATTTCTCATTTGATAGAATACTGCAAGCTTCCGTTCAAACCACACTGCATTATGGTGTCCGTAAATATGGTGCCATTTGTAAAAGTGCTCTAAGTGGTATACATAAAGTATAAAAAAGATTTTTCTGCATTTAATTTTTCAGGAAAAGTTGCCGAGACTCAATATCCAACATAATGGTTGAAAGTTCGATTCCAGATGTATATTAACTGCATCTTTAATGAGTGATTCGAAAAGTTGCACGTGGCATATGGTTCTTTGACTTATAAAATTTCTGTCAAAATGGGATCTACTAGTACCAGGAGTTTTCGCTAACGTGCAAACCAAAATACCTTCAATCGTGTGTTTGGATAGGCATTTAATAAGAAACGCTTGCCTGAAAAATGAAGTTTAAATTTAACAGCTAAGCTAACTTTTCTAACTTCTTCCGTGAGTCAATTGGGTCTGGTTAGCTCTCCTCGAAGGGATCAGGTCGTGGAATCAAGGAAGGGAAGTTAGAAAAAATTTCAGAGAAACTTGGTTTCCCGGATCAGTTGAGCTGGACCCTTGTTTGTCTTATTTTAGTGCTCTTTATACTATTAAGCTTAGGTTCTTATACCTTTACCTTGAATTATCAAGCATTTTTTTCAGCAGCTTTTTCCTAAATATTCAAGAAATGATAGATGTTTTTGTTCAAAAGTGGGTTGTAGGGTTTGGACAACTAATAGTGCCTTTTAGTTGAAACTTCATAATACCTAGGGGGTTTGCAATTGTACTGCTTAAATAAGGCATCACTTGACTAAGCCTATCTGGCCTTTTGATAACCCTATTGGGCCTTTTGATAACCCTGTAGATCAGAATTATTCAAATTAGCAATTGTCTATTGAATAATCTCTGATATCAAAATAATTTATTTTTATTGCTAACGCTTATTCACTTGAATATTTATTTCTTTGGTGCTAAAATGACTGCCTCTGCTTAATTTTTTGTTGGTTTAATAACTTTTAGGCTAGCCTTCAACAAGCCTATTTCTGACTTTCTTGATATCCTTTCTTGGACCAAATTAGGGATCAACCGTACAATTCCCCCTTCCCTAATCAATTCAGGGAGATAAAATACTGGTTTCTCATAAATTAATTTAGTGGGTAAAGCAAATTGATCTAATTCATACGAAAAAAAATAATAATTCAAAAATAACTATGAATAAATTTTGGTTAATGAACAATGTAAATAGGTATTCCTATTGAAAAATTCCCATTGAAAAGCCTGGGGATGGGGTGGGATTTTACGGTTGATCCCAAATTAGTTTTTTCTGACGTTTGTTTTTTGATTATTTGATGTACTGAAGCTATATAAATATATGTAAAAACTACATAATTATTTGAGGCAAACAACTTATCGGTGATCTGTTTTGATCAACATCTATGCTTAACATAAGAAGTCTTTGCATCCTTCTTACAGAGGCCTGATTTGTGTTGCAGAACGAATTCAGCACGGTTATCTACTCGATGGTGAAGACAGGTGTGATGATGATCGGAGAGTTCGAGTACACCAGTATCTTCTTTGGAGAGTACGAGTTGGATGGCAGCTGGAAAGTGGTCACTCTCGGCTTCTTTGTCGTGTTCGCAGTGATCATGAGTATCATCACCATGAACTTGCTAGTCGGTCTCGCTGTAGACGACATTAAGGCGGTACAGGACACGGCTGTGTTGCAGAGGATGGCTATGCAGGTACATACAAGTATCTATTGATTTAATTCGATCAGTAAATTATTCATGTCCTAACACCGCAAACAGCAAAAATTCAGATTGGACTGGGTAGAGGTCACAATTGGCTCGAAATTGAGGAGAATTGGGAATCAATTTGATTAAGAGTAATGAACGTAGTGGGTTCTTTATATATGTCTTGCTTGTTTTTTTTTCTTTTTTCAGGAAAAAGTCTTCAAATTTGTTCACGCTCAGTTTTGATTTTTCGCGGTTTGACTTGAGATTTTTTTTCAAGTTCAGTACATTTCTATTGTTAAAAGGAAGGCATACTCCACTATCGAACACCAAAGGTGCAAAGGTCACAAAAAACTTGGTCGTCTTATAATTTCGAAAAGGAAATTAATTATCAGATTTCCCAGGGAAGTAAAGTTAAACATATTGATCTAGCTTTCTCAAATTTGCTTAATTTTATCAAAAAAAGCTCCAATCATAATTTTATCGTGAAAATCAAAGAGATTTAAGGGCTTATATTTTTCTTTTAAATTCGAACGTAGTGGAACCTGATCTAAACTATATTTTATGATTGGATAAATTAAATGTTTTACCAATGTAAAGTATTTAATATTAACCAATCATGATCCACCTAACTAACAACCCACTTATTTGTAAGTGCTGAAGTTACTTGTAATTTCAGCACCAGAGAGATTTGAATTTAACTTAGAAATTAGTTGGACTCTCCCGAGCACTTCAGCAGCCGCAATAAACCAGTATACCCTAGATCTATTGAGCCTAGCAGAGACTAGTTAAACAACCTGAGACTAGATAGTATAAGAGTAAGATTAGGATCGGTATTAGACTAAGAAGTTGCACGAATCTATCCGGCCGAAAATAAGATAGCGTGACGAGCAGACGGTGTACCCTATCCGAAATTACTCTATGAGTTATACACTCCAGTTCTAACTCATCTGGTGCGACCATAAGTCTCGAACAAGACCTTACTAGATTAGAATTAACCAAAAATAGATTAGAAATTAGACAAAAACATTTACAAAATGTTATACGACAATAATTTAATTGAAATGTCTCTCCGACTCAATAGATCAGAGCCAATATTCCGAACCATAACAGAACTACCCGGAATTGGAAGAAGACCTCGAACCAAAGACGACATACGACAAAGTAGAAACTTGCCGTATAGTTATATGATAGTTCGGCAAAAGCCAGAACAAACTTTTATATTTCGAATACTACTTGCAATGAATTTAGATTTCCATTTGCAAACATAAAACCTTGAAGTTACTCTTCAAAATCATTTCAGGCGCTAAACAAAATTAATATTATACAATAACGATTGATAAAAAGATCTTAGATCGTTTTCCTAAAACTCTGCAGTAATATACAAAACATGTTTGAAAAATATTTATTGGAAAATAAAAATAAAAATTAGTAGCATGACAATAAATGGTTAGTAATCATAAATCATCCTGTTGTTCCAGCTTCATCACCTAAAACATAACAGCAATCATCAACTCACTAACATCATAAAACACTAAATCTTTCCTTTACACAAATTTAAAACTTTATTAAAACTTAAAGTCATTTAATTTAAAATCAGATCATCAAGGCTTATCCTTGGATCTTAAATCATTTTCTACTTAATTAAATTTCAAACTTGATCATCAAGGCTTATCCTTGGATCAAACAGAACAACTTTGTTCTCCCCCACCCACTTAATTAGTGTCTAACGACCTCAAACGTCGATTCACTATCCAACCCTCTCTAAAAACCCAAGACTAATAGAAATTTTTAAACAAAACTAATCATTCAAATTAGGATAAACAGTGAAGAACTTCGGTTATTCATCCTTCACTTGACCCCCCCTCTTACCAGACCCAGGATAAATCTTAGACTTAGTAAGTTTAAAATAGTATCTAACGAACTACTCGCGTTCTAATTATACCTGAACCTTGTGGATCGATTTACTATTCTCCAACCCTTGAACACAATCACTACCCCTAAGTAAGATTAAGTAAGTTAACACCTTAGCTTATACTAGTCACGAGAAAGTAAAAATCATTCTTCGGAATCGATATACTTTTCTCTCCAACCCTGAACAAATAGACCCAGGTTAAGCTAACCAAAAAATCGTAAGAACTAACAGTTTAGGAAAATAGAAATCATTTAACAACCTTTGCATCCGTCATTCTAAACCTTATGTCATTTAAAAACCTAGGAAATAAACAAACAATCGTTTTACACAATTGTGAAATAAATAACAAAAAATACGACCTTGTAATCACACCTCATACACAAACAGTTGGATACATTCGCACAAAACGACAAACACTAAAGAGGAAAATAATAACTAAACAAAGACAAATAACACGAAAAAGATTTTCAAAAAATCGAAACGCATTTTCAGAATCAGAAACCAACAGTTTAGACGAACTTTACAAACTAAAAGAATCAATAGATAAAAATTACCCACTTCACGATCAATTATATTTTTCTGACTCAGAAACAACTTCAAATTCATCACAAAGAGGAAAAAGAAGAATAAAAAAACAGTACAAACACAAACCAGTACATCTATACAATTGGAATCAACCAATTCGACACATTAATAATTACATATTAACAGTCATCGAACGGAAAAATGAGTTCAACACACACCCCAGGTGACGAAACTCCAGATGATGATGAAATCTTTCCTTTTATAGTAGACGCAGATACTGATAGAGGACAACACATATTTTGTCAAAATTTACTCGTAAATTTATTTGAACCCGGAATCAGTCCATGTAAAACAGAGTTCCCCGATGTAAAAATCAAAAGACAAATCATAGATCACTATCTAAAAGATATATGCAACATAACACAACAGTATGGAATCTACTCCATAGAATTCACCTCACCAAACCATAATAATAGAAAATATACAATTCAAACAGACGATCTTGATTTAGAATTTTCAAAAGTTTTTTCAGAATATATAAAAAGCATCCAATACCATAACTCACAAAGAGCAAACTCCATATTCACCAATGAAGTTTTCGCAATAATATATAGTTATATTTCGATATTAGAAAACGAAATCCCAATAACAAATGTCTCACCGACAGAAACATCTAAACATTTAAGAGTACGACATGAAATCACACTACTCTCTAGTTATTTAAACATCATAAAAGAAAATTTCACGAAAGACGACGTTTCACAACATACAAAACACGATCTACAAAAAATTTTGGCATGGTTCATAATAGATTACTTCACACACAATATTGATTTAATTGCACAAGCAAGAAAAAATTTTAGACCCCAAAACTCGAACGATGATACCGCTATCACAGAACAATCAGATTATGTTTGGGACCCCGAATGGTCTCATCCCGCATTTATAAGCTTCCCACAATCAATCTCAAGTCAAGCAATAAGTACAATATCTTACATAAGAGATTATGTAAGAGTAATACCATTAACAATTGATGCAACACCATTAAACTATAATACATTTTTACCCGATACACAAAATAATAGTTTAAACTCTACAGTTATACACAATGAAAACCTCAATGGAACTAGGAATCTTACTCAACAAGATATCCAGACACCATCACACTTCATAAATGAAGAAATTGTACACACAACAACTACACAACAAAGTATTTCACCAATACGCCCAAATTTAACAACACCAAGAAATACAAATCCTTCACAAACACAGGTAACCTTACAATCAACCGTTAAACCTTCGGTTGCCCCTAAATATTCACATATGGATTACCAAACATACAGACCCATGACAATACCATCAAAAACACGCAAAACATTCACTAGAAACAACTTTGCAGACCATAATTATAATTATACACATCCATCAAAAACATATAATCAACCACAAAGAAATTTTAACCAATATACAAGATCTCGAAATTGGGATAACCCAATGGCCCAACCTAATTCAACAAATTTCCAAACAAATCCTCCACGGGATCACAGTGAAAATTACCCATTTTTTCAACAAAATAAAAATAAAAAACAGACATCTTATCAAATGGATTATTTATCCTCAGATGATGATTTCTTACAACCAGATATATTTGCACAAAATACTCAAGAATATCGTAAACAAGGAATACAGAGAACACGTACAAATCATAGAAATTTTTCTCCACAACCAATAGATGCACAAAATCAACAACCAATTCAACAACAAAATCCAATTAATACACAATCTTTTCAACCAATTCAACAACAAAATCCAATGACTGCACACTCGTATCAACCATCACAAATGCAAAATGAAATACCACTCCCATATTATCTCCAACAACATGAAATAACAAGAAACCAACTTTCAAATTTTTCTCAAATGCCAAATGCAGCAGAATCATTACAAATGACAATGAATCCATACCTAATGGGTGGATCATCAATAACATCAAATAAACCTTTAATGGTTTTCACAGGAACAGACCCTGAATACTCTGTAGAAGATTATTTAAATGCAGTAACAGCAAACCTGATTTTAAACATTGGACCTGAACCAATTAATACGCCACTACATCAAAACTGGATACATCGACGCACAGCGTTAATACAAACAACCTTAGATGGCGCAGCCCAAAAATGGTTTTCAGTACTACCCCTAGAAATAAAATCAAACTGGAAAAGGTTTACACAGGAATTTTCAAAAATGTTTGACTCCGAAAGAAACAAACAACAACAAAGAGTTTTATGTAATGAAATTCGCAGATTACCAAACGAAACCATCAAGCAAATAGCAGTACGAATCGAAACACTAGTTCGAAAAGCATACTCACTAAATACACATGACTATAAAAACACAAAGATGACAGAAATCTTAATGATGACCTTAACACCACAATTAAGGAAAATAGCAATAAAAAAGAGAGCATCCCATCCTTCTTCAATTCGAGAACCCGATTTAGATTTTCGAAAACTAGTAGACAAATTAGAACAAGCAGAAATCACGATGAAACTAGAAGAAACGGAAAATC